TCTCGGACACATTCCTCGCGGCCTCCTACTTTTTTGGCGGTGGCAGCGACGCGGAGCCGGATGTCGCACTGGACTCTTCGCCCGAGACTGCAGTCGACGCCTAGACCACCGCCCCCTGGACAACATTTCTTGTGCATTTTCTTTTCTTCTTCTTCAGAATCAACCGCCAGTTTATTTATTTTTTTGCATTTCATCCATCTCCTCCTCTACCCTCACTCTCACCCTCCTCCATCTGTTGTACACACGTCCATGCACTCCCAGAAGTCGATTTGCGCTTTAATCCCGGTTTTTCTTTTTTTGTACGACGCATTATTTGCCTGCCGGATAAAATCTAACATTTGTATCTTGCTTTGTTCCCCATTATTGCGGATTTTTTATCGTACCTGTTCACCCTTCAGTCATCTGTTCTTTTTTGCCACACTGGGGGAAGGATTTTTCTTTTGGTTAGGGCTGTCGAATAATTTTGCCTGTGCAGTAACTCTAAAGTAGTTTTTACGCTTTCCGTGGGTGGGTACGCCGTTGGCTGAACCGGATTCTTTGGACATGACCCCTGTAAGTGGCGCTAGCAGGCTGCTGGGGCCGATTGCAGACTTGGAGCTCCAGGCACTGCTGTTACCGTACAGAAAGGTCTTCGATAAATCGAGTTATACTCGTGAATTTTCACGCCGGTAACACCGATCCGTTGTCAGACGAAGAGAAAGGTAAGGTCGGGGATTGTCGCACTAGAGTATTTGGTGGGGAAAGACAGACAGATAGCCGTCCATGGTAAGGGGCGGTAAACGTGTTACGGTTAGTTTTGAGGGTAAGGGAGGGATTTAAAAGTCAGGTATTGGTTCACATACAAATAGAAGCGATCATGCGAGTCTCCGGAAGTAATCGAGAAAAAGATGCGATCGCTGGAACAAGACTTTTATTTCCCCGATGTTTCGAAGACCGTCGCGGATTCTTCCTCACAGAGATAAGCATAAACTATGAGAAACCGGTAATTCATGCACAGCAAGTTGCAATATTTATAGAATATACTCACTATGATACCCTTCGCTTATGACAATTTTCGACTCCCTTATCGAGAATGATCGTTCGCTTGTGTGCTATCTGCATGATGACCGACGTGCGGGCCGTGACCTGCTGAATTTTCATCGCAGGGGGTGGAATTGGACGTGGTGATTGTCCGGCCATCTGGTTCCCTGGCGTTAGCCTGCGCGTTCTCCAAGTGGCTACTGGCGAATACGTTGTGTCCTAATGATCAAATCTTATTCTCATTGGCTTAATTGTCGGGGGATGCCGCATCAGTGAATTTCCACTCGGTCGAGTATGGACAAGCGGCTGTTGTCTTAAGGGGTCGCGAGTCAGTGAGCCGTGCACGCAGGCCTTTGTAATGTGCACCCAGATCGACTTGATGTTCCATGCTGGTCGGGATGGGATGCCAAGCTTCGATGAATTCGGGCGCTTATTTTGTGTTGGCCATGGCGATCATCTCGGTGCCGTCCCAGTTGAAGCGGTGGTCACGCTCGAGCGCGTGCGCAAATACGAGTGATAAGGGGTCCCGTAGGCGAATGGCTAGCTTATGTTCATTGATGAGGGTCCCGAGACGTCGGCCTGTGTGGCCAAAGTAAACACAAGGAAGCTCGCACGCGGTATGCAGTAAACAAAGTTGCTAAATTTTTCTGTGGGTAGAGGATCCTTTACTTGGCATAGGGTTGCG